GATATTTATGTTTGATTTTTAAATATACGTAAACATGTATCAAATTATCCGACTGTGATTGACAAAATCTAGTCCCCAGTAGCTCAGCGGTATAACGCCCTCCCCCCCAAAAAAGGGTTTCGGTGCCTTTGTTGAGCATTGCACAGATAGCCCATTTTGTAGCTTCGTGCTTAACTACAAACAAACAAGACAATATTTAAATAACTTTTGAAGCAGAGGCGACTTCAAGATTCTGAAAGTGGGAAGCAAAAGGGTGACAGACAGATTGACTTGGGATGAAGGCTTTTGTGTTAGTGATAAGTGGAGTGAAAACTATGAAAGATGGATTAAGAAGTGCAAAGAAAGTGGGACTATTTTTGCTAAATAAAGTTTTCGTTAATATATGCTTTAGTAAACTCAAAATGTATACTCCATCTCCCTTCCTCACGAAACCGGTATTAGCAACGTTTCATAAGCATATTTATAATACGTACATTCATAAGCATTGACACAAACAGTGTATGGAGAGTCTTACAACCACGTCTGTCTGTTCTACAAGATTCATTATTGGTTCGGGTTATTTTTGTCATTGAGGTGTTACATTAATTCTGCAAATTAATTACATACTCGGGAAGCTATATTTTAACATGAAATTCTTAAATTCAATGAATATGTTAAAATTTAAATATAACATCTTGAAGTAGGTTACAGGAACTCGCAAATCAGATATACAAAAGAAAGAAGTGCTTTAATAAATTACAAAAAAAAATAACATTATAAGCACCTTCGTCAGCGGTTGTTGCGGATTGATTTAATTTTTTCGATAAACTCGTTTGCCTACTCTTTAACCTGACCTTTGAAATTTTCTTAACTCTTACTGTGGGTGGCTAGCCAAAGATTGAGTAATGTTTCGTTGGGTAGTTTTTTGTTGTTTTTTTTTATAGAGTTGCCTAGTAACTGAAGGCATTTCATTCTGGGAAATGTAATTTTTACTAAATACTTTAAAACTCTTTAGTAACAATTTTAGGATCCTCGTTGTGGGACAGCAGTAAGTTTACGGATTTACAACGCCAAAATTCGGATTAATTCACCACGGTGGACAGAGACTAGAAAGCCTATTGTGTAGTTTTGCAAGAAGAAGAAAAACATTTAGGAGAGGCAGACAAATTTCAGTGGTGGCGCCCCCTCACTGATCTGAAGTCATATAATCTCTTAGAATTTTAACTCATAATTTAGTGTTAAAGTAGTTTTTGTCATTTTAGTGGTTGGTATTCCATGTTTCTAGTCATATATCAAGCATTCAAAGATGTAAGACAGTTTCAAACAGGCAGTGCTAGAAACTAAAGCTTATTTAAAATTATCGTCCATGTTAAATGGTGTGTGTAATATAAAAATACGGAATAGCGATTTTATCAGCCATTCAATCATGAAGAGCCTCGTGTAGTTTGTTTGGCTGGATTGCTTCCAAGAATTCAAAGCAACGCTGTTTTCTAAAAAGAAAAATGGAAACCTTTGTCATACTATCTGTGAAGTTCCTATGAATGCTAGCCATTCTGTTGTCATGCTACATTAGAGGCATAGTGCTTTCGAAACTATACATAAAATTGCTTTGTCCATGCGATAATGAATTCAAGGTTTCGTTCGGTGCTATTTGAGTCTAAGTTGTAAATGGAAGGACGGTAACTTTATGTATATTCTTCATTTTTCCCCCTATGAATACTAATTCACCAAATCTCTTCGTTTATCCCATATTACTAAAACGTTTCTTTCTATTTATTTATTTTTTCTGTAATAGTATAAAACTGTTTTCTTCTTAAAGATCGTGTGGCTATTCTACTTTTCTCGCAAAGACAAATAAAAGCTGAGGTTTTATTAATTTCAATGCCATTACATAAATCTCTCTTAAACCTTTTACAAAAATGTATAATTGACAAAACTTTAAAGTTCTACATATTTAAGTTTAAAAAGGAAATGTCGTCCATACCGTGGAGTGAAAAGAAGTTTTCTTAATACGTTACACTAAACTTTAAACTCGTTATACTTTTTTAGATCTGTATAAAACTGTTACTAAACGGTTTATAACAAAACATATTTTTGTTTATTTCCAACAGACGTCAAAGTTTGCAGTCGAACACTACTCATTGTCGATGAACCGTTTCTATAGATTTTCAGGAAGGTCCATTTTATATTGATTTTGTAGACTTAGCTATAACAAAGGCACATGCTTAATGATAATTTCATAGCTGGCATCCCAAAGGCGTGGTGCATCAACTCTGAAATATCTGATTTATGAAGTTCCAAAAAATGACGTTCTTGTTTATCATACACAATAGCTCTGAACAGCAAGGTACAAGACGTAATGCTATTCATTAATATCCGACGATGGAAGGCAGGCACACGAAAATTTATTTAGTTTACGCCACAAAAAAGAAACAAAAAAAACTGTGTAACTATTAAATACGATGCTATCTATGTTTTACGTTTGGTAATTCCAGCAGGGAACATCGTTTATTAAAAAAAAGTTTTTTCAATATAATGCTCATATTTTTTTACTTGTTAAAGGAATAAAGGCAGGATATACGCTCCGTATCTTCTTTATACTGTTATGCTTCTGTGGGTATTGCTAGGAAGGTAACTTGTCAAACAATACTTTTTTTTCGTGATTGATTGTCTACCTATAGATAAGCGAGACCTTACTGGGTAAAGAAAGATCTTTTCTTCTTTTTTTTCGCTTTTTTTTGGGGGGGGAGGGGTCGTAACTTTCGCCATGGTTGGTCTATTTGTGAAACAACTTGCTCGTTATTTCGTGTGGTTTGTTTTTCTTCTTGAAAACAAACTACAAGACTGTTGTCTGAAATGAGAGTCCACTAGAAAAGAAACAACAGGATTCTGGTTTATCTGATAAAAACTGATAAAGTAATAAAGAAGTTTAACGTCATGTTATACAAATATTAAAATGATAGAACTTAACGTTTTGTGTTCCTTCACCAGTAAATGCTTTGATACTGAGTTTAACAGATTTTTATTAAAAAAATAACATACCAACATACTTTAATGACTTTTATGTTGTTATCCTATGAAAATTTGCATACAAATCGGGCAATGCGTAATATATCGGATGATATATATATACGTCGTTAATTAGCCTTTGTTTTTGTGTCTTTCGAACTTTCTTCATCAATGGTCCATTGTTTATGTTTCGTCATTAACGATTCGGTGCTTTACAAGAAATTTTAACACATAAGGCAGTGTAATAAGTTCTATACAAACAACTTATACGGACATAGCTTTCTTTACTATACATACAAGTAGAGTAAAAATTTTATAACATAGTTACGGCGATTTGCCAAAGTCGGGATAAAGTTTTTAAAATTTCAAGTAACTCAGTTTTTGTTGTTTTGACTTTCTTGTTTCAATACTTTTTGTAGCATTAAAACTTTCTGTATTATTATAGCTAGCTAGGTTACGTATATATCGATCCCTACATGGTTTTATAAAATTTTGAATTGTTTTATTATTTTTGTTTGTTTATTTTTTTATCAGCTATATTTTTGTGCGCCAGCAATGTCAAGTGTGGGGAGCGTGTATACCGGATTGGATTTTATTACTTATCAGGATCTCTACCAACTTACCCCCAAATCTAATTGTATGCCCAAAGTAGCGTATCTTCTGTTTTATATGTATATATACTAGTATTCTTTTCGGTACAAGAAAGAAATCATTGTAATCCTAAACGAAAAAGTTCTGTGAATGAACTAGAGCAATAAGGTTTGTCACTTTTTCTGTACGCTTGTCTGGAAAAGTCACTTACTTACTAACTTAGATGAAAATTCGTTGAAATAGTGAAAGTTTGATTCACTACATAAACATGTATAAGTACAATAAGCTTTAGTTTTGCTCAGCCAATACTTTGAAATAGTCATTGTTAATATTCAGACATTTTAGAGGTGGTTTTAAATGGACAATTTTAATGGCCGCCGTTTTGTTTCATCACGGTCCTTATTACTAAACTACTGTACTTAATGATATTTTTTTTCGCATGTCGTAATTGTCTAGCAGCCACCTAACGTTAGAAAAATACAACAACGGGGAGCGCACCGCGACTGTATAATTTTTAGTACTACCCTAGCTATGTACAGGGCTGGTTTTAACAAGCACCCAAATCTCACCATGGCTCCTAAAACACACAAATTATGTATTGATATCAGGATATTTTGATTAAACCAGTATGTGTTTTTTTTTGTCTGAAAAACTAATTGAAGTAAGTTTGTTGATTAAATATCTACCTTTGTGCACAGTGGAGTTAAGCATATCACGTTAACCAATTCATAACTTGTGTTCTTAGGAGCTATAGTAAGAGTGGAGCATTCATCTATCAAATTTAAAAATGAAAATCACTTGATAGTACATAATTAAAGTAAAATTCAATTCATATTTTTAGTAGTGCAAACTCGTATTGTGTCTGTATTTTTCACGAAAAGGTATGCTACATACTTTAAACTTATTTGTATTTTCAATTGCTTGACTTCATACGTATAAATCCATATTTCAAATATATCATCACTGATGCGATAAACTTTTGGTTCTTTCCCCTTCATTTTCATTTATCTGCCAGGAGTCAACATAATTCTGAGACGAAGAACTTTTGGTTCTTTCTCTCTTCACTTTTAATTATCTGCCAGGAGTCAACATAATTCTGAGTCGAAGAACTTTTGGTTCTTTCCCCCTTCACTTTTAATTATCTGCCAGGAGTCAACATAATCCTGAGTCGAAGAACTTTTGTTTCTTTCCCCCTTCACTTTTAATTATCTGCCAGGAGTTAACATAATTCTGAGACGAAGAACTTTTGGTTCTTTCCCCCTTCACTTTTAATCATCTGCCAGAAGTCAACATCGTTTGTTTGCAAAACTGCATAATGATAATACGTAAAAGATTTTACGACAGAAAAACACATCATTTTGAATTCTTCAAACTAATCAATACCGAAATGAACGATTTACTTTTCTCTATTTCCTTGTTAGTCAAGACACCGAGAAGTTAGTGATTTCCGTGAAAATCAAGATGATCATTTCCTGAACTTACGTTTAGAAGATGATGATGATGTTATGGAGCTCAAAGAAAAAAGTAAGTAAACTTTCAGTACAACTTTTCTTTGGCTCCGCTGCAGAGCAACAGCTATGCTGCAGCAAAAAGTGTTTTACAGGGGAAGTTAATATTAGATTTTCCACTAAATGTGAAAGATGTTAGTTGTATCGGTAATTAACTCCTTTTTCTATGTGGATAAATGTAAGCTCAAGCTTTAAATACACACACACACTCACATATATATACATATTCAATGATAATTATTAGAATAGCAAAGTACTATATAGAAGTAATTATTCGCGAATGTATTCACTATGAACATTGATTATATCACGTTATTGTTTTGAAAGTATTTTCGAAAGAGATTAAACAAGAAAAATAAAAATTTCCACTCAATTTCACAAAACTGAAATGTTCTAAACATATTATGACTTTGAGCCAAGACTAAAATTTTAATTCAATTATCTTCATTTGTATATCTTAATGTTTTATTTCACGTGTATAATTGTCGAATCTAAGATCATAATAGCAAAAAAGTCCTTATTTGTTCGTTTTCAAATTTTTATATAATCATTTTATATAATAATCATATAAAAATTATATTTCACTGTAAAAATGTATTAGCTATGATAGTAATCATTACAACTTTAAAAAATGGGTTTTAATTTTATTTAGAAAAATTGAGAGTAGAGAAAGACTAGTTAGAATTTATTAACGTAGTGTTTTGTTATTTCATTAAAAAGATAAAGGATTGAATTTTTTCTCGAATTTTGGTTCGCATAAAAATGAGTATATATTTCTATCATTGTCTCAGACGAATAATTATATATGAGTGCCATGCCCTCGTTTTTTTATCTCAGGACAAATTGCTTGCTTATTTTGAAGTTCTTGTATGTGCCTATGAATCTTTAATTTTGTCCTGTTGTAAAAAAATGACTTTATTCTATTTTACTAATAAACATTAAGGGTCGTTCATTACATCTTCATTGGCAAGTGAATTTTCTAACGTATCTTGAGCGAAAAAGACACCATTATATTTTTTATAGTTGCTTCATTACGATATACATGTTTGTTTGTCTTTGTTATGTGGCTTAATTAAAAATTTATTTCTTAAAATGAACTCTTGATAAACAAGAATTATTTTAAAAACACGTTTTATGGATCTGAAACTTTAAATTATTAAAAGGAATAGAACTAATTTTGAAAATAACAACAGACCGAGTTTTTGCTTAATAGTAGTCACGATAAAACTAAATATGAGAATAATGCACAAACACTGAAAAAAAACGATTCATGATATTAAAGGCATTATTCTTTATCATGCTACATGAAAATACAGGAGTATAATATCTCGGAAGAAATAAAATATTAGAAATGATTTCAAATACTGAAGTGAAAGAAAGAATTTGATATGTGTATTGAAAGAGATGTTAAACTTAATCAGATTAGTGAAACACCGTGGTTGACAAAGATAATACTTCAGTTAATAAATTTGTATAACTTTCTTAATAGAGGTTTTTTTTTTTAAAGATAGAAAGTTAAGAAACGACAGAACATAGAAAATTTACCCTCTGCAGCATTAGGTCCTTCTCACCCATGACCTGATATTTCACTTCCTACATGAAAGCTTTCATATTTTTTACAGTTTTGTCTTTTATACATTTAATGAATGATTTATAACGTAACAAACTCACGCAATAGTTAATCACTTTTAAGGAATATTTTGGGCTTTATAACAAATGTGTTGTTATGCTTGCTTGTACTTTTGACTTATGTACTCAGTAAAAGCGACGCCCAAAAACCATTAAACTATTACTAAGTGCAAATAATCAGTGTCTGGAACAGACAAAGAAAACTAACATTGGTTTATGTAAGATCTATAACATGAAGAATTATAAAATCTGATATAGCCGATGCGGTTCGTATCTTGACCGAATTCGAATCAGACCAGATGTTATGCAATAGTTAATCAATTTTAACATTTTTCATTAATAATTGTCTGACATAACATGCGTATAAGTTTTTGTCTGAATAATAAAACAGACAGTTTGCAAACTATAGTATCATCGACATTCAGCACTAGACGAAAACTGATAACGGTGAGAAAATTGTCAAGTACATCGTATAAAACAAGGAATTGTTTATAAACCGTTAATACACTTAAAACTGAAATACGTTGCAGAAAAGAAACTTCCAACGTAAATTTTAGGCCATTGCTATTCAGGTGAAAAATTCTTAAACACAAAGCGCATTTCATATTCCAAAGTATGATTGAAGTAAACAGAAATAGCATGACATTATTATTATTATACATATATATATATATAGGCAAATATGTAAATATATATGTTTTTACATTACCTTTATCTATATATATAAAGACGAAATGTGTGTTTGTTTCCACCCTAACTCCTCTGAGCCTATTGGGCCAATCTCAACCAAAATTTGTACGTAAACACTATAAATTATGGGAAATGTCCTAAGGAGGTCAAAATTGAACTTAACTCTATTTCTATTTTGTAAAACCTGTTGGTTAATTACTCCCACCCTATTGAGTCAATCTTGGCAAGTTGACACTTTAGACAAGGGAATCAAGGTCAAACTATAAAAGTTGGTGGATTGTTTCTCAAACAACCATGCTTTTCTCATGATCAATGAGATGTAGGGTATTCAAGGGTGGGATCACCTCAAAATCTTTATTTATTGGTAGATGAAAAGCAAACTGCAAAAGTTGTTTCGGAAGAAGCTTTGGTATGATTTTTAAAATTTTGAGATGAAGGTTATATTTAAGTTATTACTTTGAAATATATGATTGCTGTTAAATTTACCTTGATTTAATTAAGTTTAAACATTCTCCGTCAGTTGATGGGTATTTCAGCTTGTTCTAAATAAAAAACGTATCTTCGTATTGCATTATTTACAGAAATGTGTATGAATTATTATACTTTTATTCAAGCCCCCCGGTGACTCAGTGATAAGTCTATGGACTTATAACACTAAAAATCGAGTTTCAATACCTACGGTGGCCAGAGAACAGAAAATGCATTGGGTAGCTTTGCATTTAACAATAAAAAAAGGGGTTTTTATTCAAAATGACACGTTTCTGCCTCTGTCGACCCAATCTATTGTGTAATATTTGAAATATATTATAATTTTTGGTTTATTTGTTTAAATGATCATACACTTCTATGAGGTTGTAGCCGAAAAGGGGTTTCTGGTCGTCACAATGTCGCTATGTGCATAGATGCATGTCTCCTCTGGGGTGACATTTCGCATTAACTCAGCGAAAGACAGTCTACATCGATCGATTCGACCATAGTGAGAAACTGGACGATGACATATAAATAGTACCGCTTCTGCGAGTCCAGAAATTCTGTTTAATAATCCACTAACACGTGCTTGGTGTTCCTGCTGAGTTTGCTGAATTCAGAAATATTCCAAAATGAAACAATTTTGCGGAGTTTGTTTTTATTTTACTATTTTAATTTTGTTTCAGGAATGCAAAATAACTACGTAAACTTTCTCGGTTATTAAATGCGAATGAAATTATGAGGTTCAAGATGACATGGGGAGTGCAGATTATTTTACAATGAAATATTTTAATATAATTCATACATTGAACTGAACTTTTACGATTTGTATGAAGGAGGTTTGGTGCCTTTTAAGTGACGAGATTATGTTTTCACCCCTGTGTGTGTGTGTTTGTCAGCAAGACTTCTCGAAAATGGCTAAATGGATTTGGACGAAAGTTGTTATACATTTGGACTATGATCCAACTTAGAAGTGCTTAGTTTTGGAGGGTCAAGGTCACAGCAAGGTCAGGAAAATCCAAAACATCCCTATCTGTTAACATGGGGACCGATTTTTCACACTATTTTTGCTCTATAACTCAATCAGAAATGATCAAATTTTGATGAAACTTGGTGGACATACGTAGAATATTATTCTTCATTGTTCTGCCAAAAATGGTCTGTTCCATTGGTAACGACGGACATACTAGCACATTTTCGTATTTTTGAGGGCCGAATATTATTTACGCTGCTTGGCGGAGATATGCGCTCTACTGAAGGCCCCTCTAGTTATTACTGAATGTGAGATTGAGTCAATATTTATAGTTGAGATAAAATTATTTCTTCAGTGATGAACATGCCGAACTGTAAATTCCAGGTTCTCATCCCGTTACCACTCTTTGGGGGCATGGGTGCGTTATAACATTGACGGTCAAACCTCACTATTCGATTAGATATCCCACTTCGAAATCAGGGAAGGCTAGCGCAGACAGCCCTCTGGTAGCTTTGCGCGAAATTCAACAAACAACAACATCCCCTTTCTCATGACGTGAGATATGTCGAATAATAACTTATATCAATAATATAGAAGTAGGAAATAGTTTTGCGTTGAAGGATTAGGAAAAATGAATGATGCCTTTTTTTATTTATCTCAGGCAGGCCTCTCAGATAAATAAACCTATAAAATCCTTTATTTTTGTTCTCATTCTTAATTTCCTCTGTTGTTTACTTAAAACAGGCCAAACATAACATTTAAAAATCCAATACATTTGAAGGTAAACCTATCTTTTCAACCAAGAACACTGCTATAAAATTATCGGAACTGGTAGCCATGATATTACCATAATTATCCAGTACAGATCCGTAAAAATATAACGATCTTACAGCATTTCTGATGAGGGGGAATAATTGAGACTTCATTATCAGCATTATTAGAACTTACATTGTAAAACCTGTCACACATATACAAAGTACTGGGTTTATTCGTGGAAATTTTACAGATGGTACTGTATAGAAATTCACAGTTATTATTATTCAAATATAACTGATTTATATTTTGGTTGTGAAACCACAATTAGTTTTATATTTTCAAGAAAATCGGTCCTTTAAAAACATTATAGTGGCCCATTGGGAGGTCTGTATCTGTATAAAACATACGGTAAACTATATTGTAGCTGAAAGTATTTTCATTGCATATAAACATTTTAGCATTGTTTAACAATCTTTTAGAATTTTTTTTTAGTTTACAGCAAAAGGCTTTCAAATTGAGTCAGCATCTTTTCTTATCTCTGACATGCTTGCAAACAATATAAACGGATTTATTTCGAACTGGTTTCCTTTGCGATACACTTAAGAGAACTGTAAGCAATTATGACAACTCTATCAGTGAGTAATTTTTATTGTTTTTGGCTCACTGAAAAATATTCATTACAAAGTTATTTAAAGAAAGTCAAATATTATTTCAATAATTTTATTTTGATTACTTTTGAAAACTGAATGAATAAAATTATAACGTCATTAAAAAATATTTAATGCCTTATTTACACAAAAATCTGCAAAAAGTACCTCCTACTTACGATATATGGAATAATACCACATAAAATTTTAACCATCATGCTTAGCGCAATAGTTTTACTTATTTTAAAAACAAGTTTACTGTTGTTTTTCAGCCATGTAATTTTATTTCTATTGAAAGTTGTACGTCGATATGCTCAACTTGAAGTCAAACCTCAAACATTTGACAAATTATGCATATATAAATTACGATAAGCTCCCTCTATTAACTACTCCGTAGTTGCACCAATTCAGAGAATATAGACATAGAGCTAACGAGTGACAAACTTAGAGTTTAAGATATTACTGATGAGTTTGTACTTACATAGTAAATTGGCAATATAACAAAGCTATGAAAAATGGACGAAGAACTTCAAAAATTCTTTGGAAAACTAAAACATCTAACGAGCTTGGATTATTCTTTGGTTTTTCTTATTTTGAGGATAATGTTCTTACAATATATCTTTCTTCTTTTAAAATTACAGTTTTTATAGCAATGCAAACATGTAAGTCCAAGCAGAATATATTTTTCCTTAGTTGCGCGTTCTTAAATGTATGTGAGGCATCAGTTGAACTGGAGGTAAAAAACATGATTTATGGAACTTGAGCTGGAACACTTTTTCTTTTATATGAACGTATCAGAAAACTTTAAATTCCCATCTTCCCGAATGTGGGTCTGCTGGCAAGGCCTTCATTTTTGGCAATTTCTTTTCGTCCCCGAGACACGAAACATAGTTCCAAGATCCATCATGGAGAAGCCTCGCGTGATTCTCCAAGGTTGACGTTCGTGGCACATGATTTATCATTTACAATGCGTGCTTAAAATCATTACGCAAGATCGTGTACCCTAATGTATTGTTTGCTTGGAAACTCCCGCGTGTTGCTAAGATGAACCTTTGCTGACTAATGCTTCTGGGAACAGAACGACCTCTGCTTGGCTTAGAAAAACTGCGGAAAACATACTTATTTTATTAACTTTTTACACTTAAGTTATCTTGCATGATCTCGTGTATGCATTTTGTTTATGTAGTCTCGTGGCTCTAGAACTAGCACCGCTGTCGCTAGATTTTTATATATGTTTTTAAGTATATAAATATCAATTAGTAAAACACATCGTGTCCATGCGTAAGAAAATCACGAAAAAAAAGAAACATACATTAAATTTGAATAATAAAATACTTGACTTAATTATCTGCTTATACTTTAAACTTAAAACCTTGCTATACATAACATTTCGGTTCATATACTAATATCATAATAATTAGTTTAAAAAACATATAAAAAGCTTGCACTTTTTTATTTGAATTTTAAAAAAGAACTAAAATGATGCAGATAAAAGTGAATTTGAGGATAGTAAAAACAAAAAGGGAGTGTATTGAATAAAAACAATGCTTGCAGGTCAACTCATGGTAGTGAAAAGACAAAAAAAAACAGATGGTTCACATATTTTTTTCTCTGTGAATAACAGTTGGTCTTTCATTGTAACATGCCCCCCGGTAGGTTAGTGGTAACTCTGTGGATTTTAACGCTAAAAATCAGGTTTCGATACCCGCGGTGGACAGGACACAGACACCCATTGTGTAGCTTTGTACTTTACAACTAACAAATAAACCGTAACATGAGAAGATTTTTGTTAGGTTTTTAATGTTTAGTGTTAATCGTACATCTGTCGCCAGTTTCATGAAGTAACTAACTTTGCTGAAGAAGTTTCATTAAAAAAAATACTAAATGATTTCCACTTAGGCCTACTGAATCATCTTACACATACTAAGGCTAGTAATTTGATTTGAGGTTATATATATATATATGTGTGTGTGTGTCCACTATATATATAGACGTCTCGTCACCACGTTTCAAGTAAATCTTTAATAATTTTGTTTCTTAGAGTGAGGCAACATTACAACACGTATAATTTCATTCAAATTTCTAAGCGAAATTAAAAACTTTGTCAATTTAACGTCAATTCTGTGTTGCAAAAGAATCAGCTTGAGTTTGATTGAATTTGTATTCATATTATTCAAGTTATGGCATTCAAGTATCTACTCACGATACTTCTATTGCAGCCATGGAAACAGTTATGGTAAGCACGGTAAAAACGTGTAATTACAGGAAAATTTGCTTAAAGTTCTTATTTGAAAACAGGTAATGAAATAAAGTTAATTAAAATGAAATATTCTGTCATTCTAATGATTTCTTACTTCTATACATATAGAGAACACACACACAAACTCTTAAGGGCATAATTGAAAACAAAAGCGTCTAAGAGCCCATCCGTATTCCAAGAAACTAATCATCGTTCTCAAACCTAAGCACATTATGAGTATAATTTATATACTCGTAACTATGCATGGTTGTTTTTTAATTTATTTTGAATAAAATAATTCTCTACATTTATTTCAAACTGAAGATAATTGGCCCGGCATGGCCAGGTGGTTCGAATCCCTGTCACACCAAACATGCTCGCCCTTTCAGCCGTGGGGGCGTTATAATGTGACGGTCAATCCCACTATTCGTTGGTAAAAGAGTAGCCCAAGAGTTGGCGGTGGGTGGTGATGACTAACTGCCTTCTCTCTAGTCTTACACTGCTAAATTAGGGACGGCTAGCGCAGATAGCCCTCGTGTAACTTTGCGCGAAATTCACAAACAAACTGAAGATAATTTTCTCCGCATTTTATTTTTTTAACATTTCACAATTAACTAATCCGGAAGAAGATACACTGAAGTCGATCGAAAATTTATCTAATTATCAGTTCACCAGGCGTATTGTCCGTTCGAACACCTTCCGCTGTGCCTTTCAAACAAATGATCCATTCCTATATTTGTCTTTAGGAAAGTATGTGATTACATTTTAAAACTAAATGAACATATATATTTTATTTTTCTCTAAAGGTCCGTGTGATGCTATGATATGTGGAAAAGGTCGACAGTGTGAAGTGAACGAAGCAGGTCAAGCCGTCTGCACTTGTCAGCTTTATTGTAAACATCATAGAAAGCCGGTTTGCGGAACGGACGGTAATTTCTACACCAGTCACTGTGAGCTTCATCGGGCAGCCTGCCTAGCTGGGAAGACCATCCGAATCGATCGTAAGAGAGGATGTTTGAAGAAAAAAGGTAATTGTGCAAACAACTAAAGGGTATATCTACTTCATTACACAATATCTTCACAGTGGTTTTCAATGAAACACTTGAACAACAATTTTGTCGCGAGTTTTTCGAAGCGTCACGATGCTGCCATCTTGTATCGATAATTTAAAGTAACAACCAATAAGGCCAATGATGAGTTGTTTATCGCATGATTCTCAACTATTTGCGTAAATCAAAGTATGTTCGAAAAGTTTGTTTTTAATCATGCATAAAGCTACACAAGGGCT